TGAGTCATTATTCCATCCTTGTATTTTTACTTTAACATCATCTTTTCTTCCCTTGTAGTATTGACTTGTTCAAATATGTTCAAGAAAATAACCCTTAAAGCTCTCCTTCCCATAGACTGTGTGTGAGCTGGTAAGAGGGAGCATGTCAACCAGGTCTCAGCATGCTTGGCCATGGTCACTGGGTGTCAGCACCCCACAGTATATATGCTGCACACCAGAGAAGGTGCTACCTTGAACTGAGTGCATTCTCTGAGAGTGTGGCTTACGTTATCCCAGCATCCATCTCTACCATTTGCATTGAATTTATGGACAACAGTTTTGGCCCAAAATACCTGAGAAACTGTCTGCAAATGAGAGGGCTGGGAAAATACACAAAGAGGATCGTGCTGGGTATGGAACAATAGGTTTACTTGAGAATTCTTCAGTGAGTTGTCTTGAGAATTCACAATGGCTAAGGATGAGAAAATAGGGGGTGATAGCAGGCAAATGGAGATGAATGGGGGTCATTTGTCATGGGAAGGAGTCAAAATCATTACCTGAGATAATGCCAGAGAATTGTATGAGTAAGGCTGAAGGAACATTGCAGATTCTGGCTTCAGAGAATTTGGAGGGGAGAAAGAAGCCATTTGCCAATGTACCAAAGTGGAAACTTTGATTCCGCAATGTCCTAAGTAACCCTGCTAGCTCTGATTCAGTTAACACCCACTTGCCTTGCCAAGTGATAGGTATGATTAATTTATTTCTTTCACTGAGTTGTAAGCTCTTTTAACAAGAGATTCCATCTCATACATATTTAATTTTCTTGGGTTTTCCTACATAATTATACCATGAAATGGATGAATGAATTTCTAAATGAAACAGAACCACTCAACATCTCTCACCTGTAAGAGAAATGAAAAATCTCGGAAGTTATGAGCACAGGACCGTTTCTGTCAGAAATTTTCTGAGTGTCAGGACAAGTATAGTTGAACTGGTGATGAATTATGCTTGAGCTGGGGAGACAGGATCAAGCTTGTTACAGTTTTAGTTTCAGTGATGGGATGTAATACAGTTATCTCTGGGATCCCACGCGGACCCCATTTTCAGTATGACAAAGAAGAATTAGTGGAAATGTAGCTCTCCCCCATTCAAGGGACTCTTCCTAACCACACTAGAGAACAGACTTCCATGGGTTCAGAAGAGGGAGTGGGGATCAGGGTAGTGAGAAGAGGCTGCCACCAATTAAGACTGGCAGCAATTATTCCTGACTTCAAAAAATTCTAGGCAGCATCAGACTCCTCAGTAGCTCCCCAATAAGAAAATTATTTTTTGAGGTTCAGATAAGATGTTCTGGAAAACCAGGCTAGAGATTCTACCCACTGTACCCACAGGGAAGCTGGTATACACAGGCACATAAGAGGAACAAGAAGTCATACATTTCCATATCGATGGAAGTGTTGAGTGATGGGTTTGGTACAGTGAAAAAGGTCACTTCATGTCAAGCCAGGAAGTTGCTATGTTTGACCCTAAGAGCCTGACCATCCACATCCCAAGTTTGCCAAAACTCTCAAGGATGCTCTAGCTTTACTGTAGCCAGGTCTAGGGGAGCAAACTGATGTGCGGTGGAGGTGCCCTTGTGTTGGGAGTTTCAGAAACTCTTCTTGTCTCACCTAGGCAAGGAGTGTATATTGGAGCGCTGTCTGCACTCTAAGAGAAACGAAGAACAGACATGTAATGAGCAGGTCATCCCGGCTGTGTTGTACTTTACTTTCTTCTCATCAGTGCTGAGAGAGACTCTACACACCTTCACATGAAACCATAGTGCTTTGAGTAGGATAGAAAGGATGCTGATATATTACTATCATAACACAGAGAAGTATAAGCCCTCCTTGGAGGACAACATACTTTGTTGCATAAAATAAACTCCAATAATCTGCTTAAGACAGAATGTAAGACAGTGTGTATAATAAATAGATAGCTGTTCCTTGGAGAGAATGAGATTCTACCAATATTTACTTATTGGTTGATTGCTGAAAGCTAGAGAAACCGTGACAGAATGAGGCTCAGTGAGTAGTTGGAGGGTTATTGCATACAAAATTTCCTCAGGGCCACAGCAAACAAAGACATTTTTTAAATTATGATAGTCTCAGTTTCAATTTAAAGCTCTTTTTTGCTGTAATTCTAAATCCTCTTTATATACTCCAGAATCCCTTACTAAAGTCTACTGATCACAAATATCACTTTCATGACTAGAATTTGAGAGAATTAAAACTAAGAACCAAGATTGATTATATAAAGGTGCAAATTTCCAACAACGAATGTCATTATGTTGTATGCCTTAAATACACCAATAAAATTAATTTAAAAATAAAAAAAAATTAAAAAATGTTGAAGGAGTTAAAGGAAGACATGTTTAATGTTTAGGTTGTTATTTTGTTAATCAAAAGATAACATACAAGGGACAGTGAGACCAACCATAAATTGAGAAGAAGCAAGAATTTCAATCCAGAGCTAAGGAAGAGATCATAATTCCCCTAAAAATTCAGAGTAATCCAGAGGATTCTTTTACAGGATGTGAAAATGGAGGTTTAAACCAAGCTTATTTGGATCTTAATAAATGAAGACCTAGCTAATATCAGTGTTACAATATTGAAAACAATAACCTTGCGCAGGCTGCCTGGATCATTATTATGAAATCTCAAGATCTTACCATCACTTCCATCAAAATCCCCATAAATCTCTCCTGAAGTTCCTCCATGGTAATTCCTAGGTATTCCAGAATAAGGTGTCCAATATTACTTTTCTTGCTCTCCAGCTTGCACTATGATTTACACCAACTTGCACTATGATTTAGGGACTATGATTTAGATTTCTGCTTATCTCAGGTGTGCCTTCTGGTTCTGTCCTCGTCTCCCTCGACCACAGCTGTATTCTAGTTTAATTATTCTTTCCAAGTACAGAGGATTTCAGATATAGATGTTGCCAGATCTATTACATGGCAAACCATTTCAAAATTTAGTGGTTTAAACCCACAACTTATTCTTCATTACCCAATGGATTGACTGAGCTTTTCTTTTATTTCATTGGTATCAAGTGGGGAGCAAGAATGACTGACTGGAAAATCAAACATGACCTTTTTCAAAATAGATGGTAGGTACTACTGGCTTCTGGCTGGGAGTGCAGGTTGGGCTGCTGACCTAAGGTTTGGTTTACTTCACTAGGTCTTACCATGTGGTTTTTTGGTCTTCCTCATACCATAGTGGCTGAGTTCCAAGGAGCATTCCAAAAAGATGAAAGAAGGAAATATAGATTGTTATACTTTGGATTTAAATGTTTCAAAAAGCCCAGTGGAAGGATTATTGAGAAATGATCAGCTCATAAGGACACTAATATAAATGGATTAATGCTTTGATAAGTTCATAGCCAAATGGATTATAGGAGGCACACCCTAGAGGAAGGAAGCAGGTGTTATGGACATAACCTTGGGGACTATATATCTGATCTCTAGCCTCTTCATTTCTCTCTCTACTTTCTGGCTGCTATGAGGTGAGCAGACTTCCTCCACCATACCTATCTGCCATGATGTTTCTAACTCACCATAGGCCTCTAGCAATGGAACCAAATGATCATGGACTGAATCCTTTGAAACTATGAAACAAAATAAACCTTTCTTTCTCTAAGTTGATTTTTCTGGCATTTAGTCACAGTATGGAAAGCTGACCAACACCTGGATCTTTCAATTCCTGGCCTCAAATTATACATAGCAATATCTCTGCCATATTCTATTGGTGAAATCCAAAAGGAAGTAAATTCTACTTCTGTTGGAAATAACAGTAAAAAAAAAAAAAAAAAAAAAGGAAAGAAGAAAGAAAGAAAAAGAGAAGTTGTTATTTTAATTTACCATAACATCATTTATTCTCTCTCTCTCTCTCTCTTTCTCTCTCTCTGTTACACACACACACACACACACACACACACACACACACACCCCTCAGAACCACTTAAGTCTTAACAAAACCACTTGAATCTTAGAAACAAGTGCAGAAAAATCTGGTTGTGGGACCCAGCCACTGAATTATTTTCTACTTCCAACCTATCTCCTTCCCAAATTCCTCATTTTTCAATCACCCACACTTCCTTTTTCACCAACATACTTATCACAGGGTTTGTGTGTCTGTTTGAAGCTCCAATTTTGTTGGCTTACCCAAAATAGCATAAGTTAATCTTAATCAGAAAGATATGTAAGTGCCATCTTTGCTAACAGGTTATGAAATATATATCTAGTACTTATTCAACACTGGCATAGAGATGATAATATCTTCAAAGTGTCCATGACGGTCACATGTCTCTGAAAGTTCCCCAAATCTAGCTCTAGCTCAATATTGCTGCTCTGTAAAAGTATAGTTTACTGTCTAAATGTAAACTACTCTACAAAGACTTCAGTAAGTCAGCTTTTCAAACTCATCTAAATTCAGAAAACTCTGGAACATTCTAACAGTTTTGAAACAGTAAGAAGGTGAAAATTTCTCCCTAAAACAAATCTCCAGCATGGTACAGACCTGGGCAAGCCCTGTGTATATCCAAGGTAGCAAGAGGCCTGGGAGTGCAGAGGATCGGAGACTACACTGAAGGATTAGAAAGAAGAGAAATGCAGCATTTCTAATCCATCTGTAATTCCCACCTTGTCTCTAGACTCTGGTCAGCCAAGAGTTGGTAAAGCTCCCTTGAGGCAAGCAAGATCCTGACTTTGGTCAATTGCTCAGACTTTTTCCAAGGATAGTCACTGATTCTGCAAGTTGAACCAGAGATAAGGTGTAGCCACCCCAGCCTTGCTTCTCCTTTATTACCTTACAGAAGAAATGCAGTCAAGAAGAGCTGAAGGGACAGTGAAAGAGTTTCCTCTTATTGTAGCTTCCAGCTAACTACTGACTGTCAGCTTAGCTGCTGGATTATGAATATTAAAAAGTAAAAGATATCATCAGCAAGTGTCATTTGTGATAAATCACCATAGCTGGGCTTACATTGATTAACTGCAATTCATTATCCAGACAGTTGATGGTCATTCATGTCATTTCCACTTCCTGGGATCAGCAGCAGCCATCTTCCAAACACCTAGGTAGGAAAACCGGAGCAACTTAGGAGAGTGTTGATAGGTTGACACATGATCTGTTTTATTGCTTTTTCGTATCATCATCTCATAGAGAAGCAAATTTATAATTCAAATTACTCTGGGCCTTCAACTGGAGGCAAGAAAGTAAAATAAGTTTTCTTCTAAGAAGAAAAATGGTGTACAGCAAGATCATGTTCTGTCCCCTCCCTGACTCCTCCCTCTCCCTGTCCTCATCTCTGCCTATAGAATACATGCTCAGACTTTGTCTTCTCCTGGGGTCTCCCAACACCACAGGTGAGCTCTTCTATGTTTACTATGCTCTTCCATGCTCTTCTAAGATGCTGAAGTTACCTGATTACCTGTGCATGTATCTCTCAAGAAGAAAAAGCTGAAAAAGCATAGGATTATGCCTTGTGCTGCTTTGCATCATTAGATTTTAAAACCATGTCTGTCACATAGAAAGTGTTGAGTCTACATTGAATCGAATTGAGTGAATATTTAACATCTGCTGTGTGACTTTTAGCATCTCCTTTATTCTCCTTTTTTGTTACCAAATGCTTTATGTTTATCTATCTCATGGTCATGATGCTAAGTTAAGTGCATCTCAAAATTGTTTACAGTCTGACTGGTCTCTGCTCTCTTATACAAACGTGTGAATTTGTAGCATTGTGACATAACAGCAGTGCCTTCCTGCTTTTTTTGAGGTACACTTTGAGTAACTTTTTGCTTTTTTTTTTTTTCTCATTGAGTTTATTGGTACAATCTAGGCATACAATACAGTTACATTCATCATTGGGATCTTGTACCTTTACATGACAGGTCTTGGTTCTCACTTTTTCCCCTTGCCCCTGCCCTCCCTTCACCCCCTCCTCCCTTCCCTATCTACAAACACTTTATTTCCATTTTTTCATTTTCTTGTATTTTTTTCTTTTCCCTTATTTCCTTTCCCCTACCCTCCCCACTTCCCCTACATTTTTAGCCCTTTTCTTCCTATTTCACATTGTCGATTATACCATTAGGATTTATGTACAATTATAGTTTTTCAATAACAAATATTCTTTGCTAAATCATGGCATCATCTACTGAATTCTGCTAAGCCAAAAGCGGATGTTTGTAGCATCCATGCCCATCTAGGAATGTGGTCTCACTGGTTGATGGGGCCAATGTGTACCTTGCCCTCACCACCCCTTACATACACACTTCCACACACAAGTAGGTCTGCATATAGGAGTGTGCCCAGCTGCAGATAGTTGCTCATATTAGTTTTAAAAAATCTACATAAAGCTTTCAAAAGCACAAGGACCCTCGATGAATTTCAAATGCAGATTTTTTTTTAGATTTTACAGTCTCAGTCTGCTTTACATTGCTGTGATAAAATAACTAAAATGAATAACTGAAAGGAGGAAATGTTTATCTTTACTCACAGTTTCAAAGGTTTCAGTCTATGGTCAACTGGCTCCCTTGCCTTTAGCCTTGTGGTAAAGCAGAAAAATCATGGTAGAAGGATGAGACAGAGGAAAGCTGCTCAGCCCATGGCAGGCAGGAAGCAGGAAGAGAGGGAAAGAGACCCTGTGGTAGTGGGCTTCTTCCCCCTTCTGTCTTTGTTCTATTTGGGCCCCCACCTTAGAGGATGGTTCTGCCCACATTAAGGGTGAATCTTCCCCATCAGTTCACTGCGCTGCACATCAATTGTCTCTGGAAACAGCCTCACAGACACATCCTGAAGAGTGTTTTACTAACTTCCTAGGTGCTTCCCAATCAAGATGAAAATCCAAATTAACCATCACATGCATTTAAAAGGATTATTTTCTGCTTATCATCCTTTCAAAGTTTCCAACAACAAAGACAGTGTGTTCTGGTATCTTTTAATGAGCCTTTCTTTCTTTCATTTTCTTTCTTTCTTTCTTCCTTTCTTCCTTTCTCTTTCTTTCTTTATTTCTTTCTTTCAAACTTTCCAGGCTTTCCAAGAGCAAAGGAATCACACAAAGATCTTGCTTTCAACATTCCAGTTGATTTGGATGGATCTTATTGATTCTCTGCATTTGTATTAAACTATTTGGGCCTAATACATAGATATTTTCATAATTATGTAAGAAGTACATAGAATGTGATACTCTTAAATTCCTCAAATGCATCCTCATTTAAAGTTATAAATGTAGCAGAAGGTCTTGGAAAATACTCTAGGTTGGGAGTCTGAAGATCTGTGAAAGTCTCAAACACTCTATAAAAAGAAGTTCTACATGAATAGGCAAACAGGTAAGTAGATATGTAGATAAGTAGGTAGAAAAGGAGAAAAATGGGATTTCCCTGTTAAACCTCCCAACCAGGCCTCAGTTTTGCCCTCTAAAATGAGAGGGGTTAGCCTAACTGATCACCATGTTCTATCTTGCTTTTTAGGTCTTGTAACTCATGACCAGCTTCCTTATCCTGCACTTTCCTGTTCTCCCCAATATCCTTTCCAGCAGATCTTTTCAAGGTGACTCTAGACCTACTGAGGCCTGCTTTTTTAAATTTCAGTTCTTTATTGCCTTGGAATTTTAATCTCTTCTCAGTTTATGGCTCCTTCCATGATGGTGGCTGGTCACCCTTCAACCTTTAAATGTTTTCTTCATGTTAGCAAGTACCCGAGAAAGGCACCTGATTTCCTTGTTTCCTGTGGTGAATGACTATGAAGTGACCTGAAAAGTCAATGCAACTTCCTTAAATGCCTCACTCCCTGACCTGCAGAGGAGGGGAGCCTCTGGCTCACCCTGGCTCCGTCATCTGTTTGTAATTGAATCAGTCCTTGCATTCGCCACAGGCTTTAGTTTCACAGCCTTGGATGAGCTGGTGCAGACTTCCCCAAATATCTCCAGCTTGAGAAGAGATGTCACAGCTATCTCCTCACAGTGATAGTTTTCTTTTTAATATTTATAAACACAAAAGTATTTCTTTCTCCCCCTCCTCTTGAAATGTATATATTCGTTCATTAAAACACATTGACGTTGCTGAGGTAATGGCCTGTCGACAGATTTGTAACAGGAGCTATCTCACTGCCTGCAGGCCTGCACATTTTAATATAATTAAAAGGCTTCTGTTTGGAATCTTAGCTAATTAATATTCATGCTGTTCTCCTTCCACCTGCCATTTCTGATTTGCTGTCTTTTAGCAGATTGATCATGGCCCAATAAATGCCACCACTAGTCAAAGCAAGGCAGGCAGAAAAAGGAAGGAGGAATGCCACTGTGGCCTTGGCTTTTCTGTGAAAAAACAGCATTTTAAAAACAGCAGATTTGCCCTGGTTTATGAAGAAAGTACAGGAAAATCCCCTATAAATATCAGGATTCGGTTGAGATAGGACAATTGAACAGGGAGTGTAGGTTAAGTCACTCACACTGGAAATCTTTAAGAATTTTCAAAAAATTTATTTGTGCCAAAATCACAGTAACTTGAAAATGCAAGTAATAGATTTTAAAAAGAAGTAAAGCTGAAAGTGGCAGTGACAGTTATCACTATTCAGTACCTTAGAAAAGCCATTCACACAAATGAATGTGATTCTTCTCCATGGGACATTTGAGAGTCAATCAAATTCTGAGGAAAAGTCACCTGGTCACCATCTTACATCATTACTCTATAACAAAATACCAAGACTGGGGGTCATGTAAACATCAGAAAATCTATTCCTCATGGTTCTACAAGCAAAAAAAGTTCAAGAACAAAGCTCCAGCAGATTTAGTTTCTGGTAAGAGCTTTCTCTGTACTTCCAAGATGGTGCCCTGATATTGCATTCCCCTGAGGAGGACAAACTCTATGTATTCAAATGGCAGAATGGAAGGAAAAGCCGAGTTTGTTCCCCCACGCCTGTGCATAAATGCTCTAAATTCATTCATGAGACCAGAGTCCTCCTTGTCTAATCATGACCTAAAGGTTCTGCCTCTTAACATTCTGGCATTGGGGGTGAGATTTCAATACAAATTTTTGAGGAACATAGCATTCAAACTATACCAGTTGCTTTTGTTACTTCTAAATGGAAACTGTTTTGCCTTAGGAGGAAAACATTAAAAGGGGAGGCAGAGCGGAGGTAAGCAATGAAGATATTTATAATCAATCTGTCACCAAGGAAAGATATGTGCTTTATCTGATTAGCAGGAATCAAAATGGGAATTGTGGCAGTGTTCATGATAAGACACTAGACAGCCATAGATCTCAGCTTGCAGGAAATCTAAGTTGAGAGGAATAAGAAATGTCTTTGGGGCTCTACCTTCCTGCATAAGTTGCTCTCGTCTTCAGAACATGTTCCATGTGGACAGAAGGAGCTACTTTGAGAAAGTCATGAAAAGGAGCACCTCATATTTAGGCTCCTTTGTCCAGGTTATGTCACCAATGTGAGTCTTATCCACAAAAGGTGATAACAATACCTCCTTTAGAAGATTGCTGTGAAGACTAAAGAAGAAAAAGCTTTTAAGTGCCTAGTGCAAGACTCCATAAATATTAATTGCTCTCAAATGTCCCCAGTGGAACAAAGGGCAGAAGTAACAGCTACTCCATGTTATAGTGAAGAACATTTTTCTAAAAAGAAGAAAGGAAGAAGGAGTGATGAAGAACTCATTTTCTTGGACTTGTAACACATAACAAGCGAAAAAGACCCAAATGTATTTCATTACATTTCTAAAGCTATCTTGCCCAGTGCACTGGGTATTAACAATGGAACAAAGAGGGGTTACAGAAGCAAAATCAAAATAAACCAGAAACACTAGATTTCTGCAACAGGTACGCATCCTTTGTCCTATTGATGAGTCACTGGTCTGAGGATCTGTTTAGGTCTAGCAGGAAGTCCATGAACAGACTGCAGCTTAATTGTTCTTCCACTGTGGTTGCTCTCATTGTAAGCTCGGGGCTCTTTAATTCTAAAGAGTCTGGGTGATCACAGTCTTCCTGGATGAGATCATGTAGGGACTGTATTGCTGACCTACCCAACCAGAATGTCTTTTCGCCTTTTTCTGGCTATCAAACTCCCACTCAT